CCCGGCGGGGGCTGCTGCTGCGTGCCGGGGCGCTTATAGGCTGTGCCGAACCGCGTAGGTATGTCGGCGGGGAGAGGGGGATGTGACGCCGCGGGAAGATGAAATCCAGCGCCGCGGAGGCCGCCGACAAAGGAGCGCGTCCCCGTAAGCGGCGGGTCTCTGGGGGATGGCCCGGGAGGGGAGCTGCCGCGCCTCGGCTTGGAGCGCGGGGTGGTCGGGGGGGTCCAGCCTTGCCCGCCGTCGGCAGGGTCGGTTTCAGCCGCGGCTTGGTGCCGGTGCCGCCTTCCTGGCGCTGGCTCTGAGCCCCCGCAGGCAGCTGGCTGCTGGGCGCGGGCCGCCCGCCTTTGCCAGGCTAGCGGGTAGGCACGCCTTGGGCTGGCTTTCCTAGTGCAGGACAACCGAAATAACCTTTGCGTCGTTTGGGGGATTAAACGTGAAAGTGTGTACCTGAAAAGGTAACAAAAGCTAGCTTGATCTGTTTTACAGGATGCTTGCAGTGCAAAAAAACTAGCAGCTGTGTTGAAATTCGTTAGCCCCCCGCCGTGCGAACTGCTCCACCCAGGCAGATCTTTGCTGGTATCAGGAGCATGCATGGAAGGCGCGTTAGGCCCAGGGTATTAAAATGCAGTTGCTTTACGGGAGAGACTCTTTACTGTTACTGCAGTACTGCTAATTCAGGCCCAACTTCTGATTATCCCAAAGAAGCTTAATGCGTATTTTTCAGTAGTAATTCCAGTATTTATTGTGTTCATTTTTGAGCTGCCCTGGCCATCATATATTTTGATTCCTGGTCATCTGGAATTTCACTCGCACACCTGATTATCTATGTTTAGATTCTGAATCAGTTATATTATCCTAAGCCTCCTCATTTTCCTATTTCTCTTAATTCTTTTGGTCTCTTAGGTTCTATAAAGCTGACCGCTGTTGCTCCTCTTATGTGTGTTCATAAACATTGCTTACAGAATCTTGCAGCATGAATTGTGGTTCAGCTCCCCGTCCCATCCAACACCATTTCAGGGAGGGGGAGCGTACATAAGAGGGACTGTTTTGCATCTTGGCTTTTTGTCTGAAGAGGCCTGCTCACTTCCTCTAGCAGCCCTCATGGTCTCTTTTGAGCTTCTCCAGAACAGAAGCAACTAGGAGCAGGGTAGTGTCAGTGGGGAAGAAAAAACAATGTAAGACTAACGATGTGCAAGTCTTAGATAATTCTGTCATTGGTGATATATGGATTCCTGTGGAAGTATGTAAAAACAGAAGGTATGATTAGTTTCACCTAATGATATTATCCTGGTTTCCAGCTGGTTAGCTACAGACACTTTGAGTTGCGTGTCATTTCTTTGCATTTAGGACCCCTCTTCCTAGTACTTGTGTAACCTCCCCTAGAAATCACATCTTAGTATCAACATTATGCTTTGGCCACAAGCTACACAGGATTGACCTGTTGCATAGAGAATCAATTCCTATTTTTTTAATTTTGTACCGAGTCCTAGTTTTGTCTAGGCTGTTTAGCCATTCTGTGTTCTTGATTTTGTACATCCCCTAAATCATATACTTTACAGACTGACAATATACAAGGCATTCTTCATGCCTTTGATCATCCTTGTTACTCTTTTGCAGGCTGTATTTAAGATGTGGCTGAGTCCTGCATTTATGAAGTGGTATTACAAAATGTTCCATTTTATTTTCTGTTTCTTAATAATTTCTAATTTTTTTATTTTTTGATTGCTGCTCAGTATTGTGCTGATGTTCTTGTAGCACTCCACCACACTTAATAAACATTTACTTTGCGAAATGAGGCTTATTTCTCACCCAGATGGAATTTTTTTATTTGCTTGTTTAAATGTCTAGTCCAACACTTAGGCCTGCGTGGATAGCTGTGTGTTGAGCATCAGAAAAGTTCATCAGTACAGTTTAATTGCTGTGTGTGTGGTTTTTTAGAGTAAAATTCACTGGGACAGAAAGAGTGGTCATAACTAGAGTGTTTCTGAACTTTAGGCTTAGTTTTCCTGCATCTCAGGTGGGTGCTCAAAATTCAGATAAATAGTAGGATCTAAGTGTTGTATTTTTTGGTGTTTCAGTTACTTTTGGCTGTTTTTTTGTTCTAATTATATGAATCCTTATTGGCTCAGATGAGTAAGAGATTCTGTTCTAAAATGGTGTTCTGGTGATTCTTGGTGACTGCAAGTATGTACTGTGGCACAGACGTATGCTAAACCGGGTGAGAAAATTGATGTCATTGTATAGCAACTGAAATTAAAAAGTCCATTTTAGAATATAATTTTAAGGAGAAACTTCTAAGGGCTGTATGTGATATTACTATTAATGTCAGTTTTTCACGTTTAACAGATAGCTATTATTTAAAAGTCTTAGATTGTGTAGAAGCTTGCCTTTCCATAATTTAGGAAGCTTCCTTTTTGAACAGGAAAAAAAAGTTCATAAAACAGAGTCCTGTTTAAATTGCTTTAAATTGCCTTTTCTTTTTTGCAGCAGATGGAATGCAAGCAAAACCAGAAAAGATAAGATCTTCTCTGAAGAATGTGAAAAAAGATACAGGAAAACCAGAGAAACTTAAGTATAAGCCACTCACTGGGAAGGTGTTTTACCTCGATATTCCATCAAATGTGATCTCTGAAAAAATAGGGAAGGACCTCAAAGAACTAGGAGGGGTAAGTTAATGAGCAGAGACCTTTATGAAACTACAAGAAAATCTATGCATGTGGAATGCCTTTTCCACATTCTTTGTGACTGCATTTTAATGTTATTTTTATTTTATATGTGACCTGATCTTATTTTTTGTTTGTCGTAATGTTTAATACAAACAATTAGCTTATTAACTAATTATTTTACCTTTTTTGCTAGAAGGTGCTTTGCTAATTGTAGCAAGTTATGATAAAGTTGTTTTCCGTTGATTATTCATTTGCTTAAAATTTTATCCAAATTTACTAAGTTTCATTGTTTGAGGTGATTTTTTTCCACTGCTTCTATGTTGACACTTACATGTTACAACTAAAGTTCTTCAGCTGAACCTGAAAGAGATTAGATAGTGCTTTGTATTCACTTGCTAAGTCGGTAACTTCAGTAAGTACTTTCTGCCAGTGTGTTAATGAGTATTTTTAAATACTCTTATTTAAATAATAAATTTTATAAGCGTCTTCCTACTTTTTTTTTTCCTAATTCTCTCTTCTGTATGGAAGAAACACTTTGCAAGCAAGTACAAGATGTCATACTAACAGACAAGCAGTGCAATTGTATGGTCCACTTTAAAGTTGAATATTTTTGAATTAGCGTAGAGGAATCTTGATGGTTAAAGTATTAAACACACTTTATCCACAGAAGCAAAAGGGATCTGCTTTAAATTGCTAGCTATTCTGAACGTTGCTTTGGCAATACTTCTTCAATACTATTGCCATTGTATTGAATGTATAGTATTTGGCAATACTACACCTCAGAGGAGTACTGAGCAGTTTTATGAAATTGATGCTTGTAAATCAAGATGCAGTCTGAAATGATAGCAGAGGCAAGGAATAGCAGTAACAGCGTTTCAAATTAAAGGCATCTCTTTACGTTTAGCATTAAATGACTGCACACTATCTTTTGTCTTTCTCTCTAAATCGAAGTTTTAGGAATTTATATGTGAAAAGTAAAGTTGCAAATCGAAGACTAAAACCAAAGTCTTTCTATTCTGAAGAGTATATGCCAAAATCTGAGGCGCCCAGTGCCCGCAAGATCGACTACCGTGTATTTCACTGTTACTTGTGTGGAGTGCCCACAGAAGTGCCTCCCTATCCCATTTCTATACCAGGTACATAGAGCGGAATTGGAAGGCACAATTTCAGGCTTGCTGCCCGTGTGAACTGTGCTTTCCATACTGATCAGTGGAGAAGAGGAAAATATTTTAACTTATGTAAACTAGCAAGAAATAACAAGGCAAATAGAGCTGATAATCATACAACAGTTGGTAATGAAAGACTGAAGGAACAAAACAGAAGAACATAAGCATAGGATAACCACATATTTTGTCTTGCTGAGTATGAAAATGTTATGAGTCTGCTTAAGTCTTCTACATTTTTGAGAAGTGTTATGAATGCTTGAGGTGTGAAACATGGTAATTATCCTGAGATATTAAATTTTTTGCTGGTTCTAAACTCAATAAATTTATAGCTTCTTCCAAACCGTAAACTATATTTGCATCCACGTGCCTTTAAGTTTAACTGAACACTTCTATGAAATTTCTGCTTCATAACATTATATAAACCATGGTTTTCTTTGAGTCATTCTGTTATTTCTCAATGCAGTGTTTGACTACTGTGTAGAAGGTATTACAGCTAGAGAGCTCAAAGAATTATAATCAAAACAAAGCAAAGGTCTTTTGATAGGAGTGATGGGCTGAGGCCAACTGCATGAGCTCCAATCCAAATGCCGGGGGCTGCCCTTGGGCCACAACAACCCCCAGCAGCGCTACAGGCTTGGGGAGGAGTGGCTGGAGAGCTGCCATTCAGAGAGGGACCTGGGGGTGCTGATTGACAGCTGGCTGAACAGGAGCCAGCAGTGTGCCCAGGTGGCCAAGAAGGCCAATGGCATCCTGGCTTGTGTCAGCAATAGCGTGGCCAGCAGGGACAGGGAAGGGATCTGAGCCCTGTACTCAGCACTGGTGAGGCCGCACCTCGATTCCTGTGTTAGTTTTGGGCCCTTCACTACAAAAAGCACATAGAGTTACTCGAACACGTCCAGAGAAGGGCTACAAAGCTGGTGCAGGGTCTGGAACACATGTCCTATGAGGAACGGCTGAGGGAACTGGGGGTGTTTAGTCTGGAGGAGGCTGAGGGGAGACCTTATCACCCTCTGCAACTATCTGAAAGGAAGCTGCAGAGAGCTGGGCTTGAGCCTCTTTAGCCTAGTAGAAAGCGACAGGACAAGAGGGAATGGCCTCAGGTTGCGTCAGGGAAAGTTCAGGCTAGATATTAGGAAGTATTTCTTTCCAGAATGGGTTGTTAGGCATTGGAATGGGCTGCCCAGGGAGGTGGTGGAGTCCCCATCCCTGGAGATGTTCAAGAGTAGGGTCGATTTAGAGCTTAAGGGTATGCTGTAGGTGGGAACTGTGCTAGGCAAACGGTTGGACTAGATGATCTCCAGGGTCCTTTCCAACGTAGATGATTCTGTGATAAAGATTACAAAATTAAGAAATTGAAATTAGAATTTGTGACTAGTAAGATGCTACTACATCTCAATTGTAATTGTCATCCAGATCTTAAGAAAATATTTTGTCGTTAATCCAATGTTTTTGAACTTAATTATTCTAGCTTTGTCATTTTTCTTTAAAGTATACAATGTAAAATTATTTATTGTCCTGAAATAATTACTTGCTTTATGTCTTTATCTTTAGAGAGTGGAGAGTTTTCTTAGTAAAGATATCAGCTATCTGGTGTCTAACAAAAAGGAGGCAAAATTTGCACCAACTCTTGGTCAGATTTCTCCTGTCCCTAGCCCAGAATCTGCACGTAATGGAGGAAATAGTTCACCTCATCCTAGCAACAGAAAAGATCGACATGATGGAAGTTCATTTAAGGTAGTAGATACAGTAACTTTCTTACTAGTAATACTGCAAAACAAGTACAGTCCAGGGGATGTGCTCTTATTATTTTTATTCTATTTTGTTTCCTAAAGATGGCAACCGTTCCTTGAGTGGATAAGGTGGTGTGGGATTTTTTTTTTGTTTGTTGGTGTTTTTTTTAACAGGTCAAACATACTTTTAAACTGCTTCAGGCTAACTTGTTAACTCCAATTAAGCAAGCTTTCAAAAACTAATTTTAAAAAGGAGCCTTTTCTGTAAATAAGCAAACTACACCAAAATCTATTCTAATATAGTGTGTCTGACTTTTAATTAATAACATTGACATTGTTATGTTTGACAGCTGGATCAATATGGATAGGCTTGCGATGGCACCCAGCAGTTCCTTTCTCTGTGGCCACATAGGCTATTAAAATCTGGCTGCTGTGATGTTGTTAGTGCAGATCTCTGCAGAAGCACTCTTTGATAGTAGTTCAAGGAAATAATTCAAATATTTAAAACAGTATGAAGTTTTTCTGAACTCTTTCTTAGAGGATCATGTTAATTGCAACAGTTAGTATCTGAATTTGTGCAGTCTTATGTGAAGTTGAGTCCTTTCAGAATACAGTTGGAAACAATTAGCTGTGCTATATACATGGTACTTATTCAGAAACATGACAGTGAGCCAGTCTGCAGGCTGGTCTTTGCATTGCATCAATGAGATCACCTCATTTTCCAAATAACCTAGGTGGGTAAAGGGTAGCTCACTGTGAATAAACAGCACTGGTGATAGAAAAGATGGAGATAAGACAGAGGCTATGATTATATTCATGACTGTTAGCTTAATTTGACACAAGTCCCACTGATGAAATCTCATATTTTGGCATGTGCTACTGGCTGCTTATTCGCGCCATCTATGTTGTTCCAGCACTAACATTGCTTCAGCTGTGCAGTGACCTGCTTTGGCTGAAGACGATTACTTGTTTGGGTCTTGTTTTTCTTTTTTCTTTTTTTCACACAGACTTTATCAACCTTGTGGGGAAGATGCAAATTAATGAAAGATAGCAGTACAGTGAAAAAAAGGAGACTATCATAGCTAAAATATGTATTTGTTAGCAACAATGTAAATTGTCTTACCTTTTGGTTTTTTTCGAAATGAGTTTTAACTTGCCACAAATGTGTTTCTTCTTTAACATAGACAGGTATGAGCAGAGGAAAATCCTTAGTTGAAAAAGCAATCAAAGAGCAGGTAAGCTGAGTAATCAACAAATTCATGCTTGAGAAATTGAATTTGCTCTTTTAGAAAACAAGCAGTAGTAAGGGTGGTCATAGTGGTCTAAGAGAGAAGTCCTTCCTGGAATGCTCAGGCAGAAGTTGAGTATTGCCTTAAGTACGACTGTCCGATCATGCTTTCTGGGTACTTAGTGAAAAATTGAAAGTCTGTGGAGTCTTATGACTAGTATTGTGATCTATCAGGATTGCTAATATAGCTAGCATTTGAGGGGTGCTTGTGAAGTTAAACTAGATGTATAAAATCACTGTCTTCAAATCTTACTATAAAATGCGACAGCAGAACAATTTTGGCTTTATGAAAGGTTAAATATAATCTTGATGATGAAGTGCTGATACGGAGATGGAAAAGTCAGTTAAGGAGAATGATAGTCTTTTCGCAAGAAGCAAAGCACCTGCATTTCGATCTCAGCTTTAATATTAAATGTTGTAATATATTTGTAATTATTTTACATAATCTACTATGTATTGCCTAAAATTATTAATATAATTTATTGTTTGCAGGACTTAATCCCCTCTGGTAGTATACTATCCAATGCTTTGAGTTGGGGAGTGAAGGTACTTCATATTGATGGTAAATATTTTTGTTTGATGAAGCCTAACTTGAACTTGTAACATTAATTATTCTTTTGTTTAATTCAAAATATTAAAAATTACATCAAACATACAAAAATAAACACACGAGTATAATTCTCCCTCTCTTTGCCAGATGTTAAGAATTACATAGAACAAAAGAAGAAGGAGCTCTACCTCATCAAAAAAGCAAACTCTTTTAAAGATGTAAGTGGCTCTTTGTTGTTTGTGAAAATGCAATTTATTTAATTACTGTGAGAAAACACAGGTGTACTAAATAATACCTACTGTGAAGCTTACAGATTTTACTTTATTAAAGTCTTGTTTAAGTTCAGCTTTTCAGACCAGTATGTTTTATAAATTGATGTAAAAACCATCTTTGAAAAATAGAAAGTATTAGCTGTACATTTTACCATTAAAAAATAAATTCCATAGTAGCATTGACAAAATAATGTGTAGACCTTTGCTCTTGTAAAGGATATCTAAGAATCAGTAGTACTGAACTGTCTGAAATTTCCATTCTGCCTGCCACAAAAATAATAAAATTAAAAAAAAAAAAAAAAGTAGCTTGGTTTTAGTATGATGTAGATTGTGGTTAAGTAGCCTTGTATAATTTTCCCTGTGGCAAAGTTGTTAGAAATTATTTCCTTTTGATGGACCATTTTGAAGAATCACAATTACATTTTCTGAAGAAGGTGTGTTTAAGGAATCTGTCAGTTGCTCAACTTGGCATTTTGCCCTTCCTAGTCTTTTAGAGAACTAGCATAAAGCATCTTTGAGCTATTCTGCCAATAATGTGTGGTTGGCATGTGAAAATCCCGATTTCTCCAGGTTTTAGTGTATGATATTGAAACTGTTCTAGCTGCTTGTGTACTCTTCTCTGCAGTTGCTCTGTAATGTATATTAAACATGTGAAGTTGTACAGTTATCTAGTCCAGGCCGGGATCTGTGATAATAAGTAAATGGAAACATACCATCTAGTCTATGTTATGTTGTTTTGGAATGCAGTATTGGTATTGGCTAACTACTGAGGCCACATCAGATCTTCTGCTAAATCATCAGTGTGTCTGTTCATGGATAGCAGGGTGGAGTTTTTGTGCAAGGAGCATAAAATACATGGCTTTACTTTAACTAGAATCAATTAGAGCTAATAGCTCATGCTTGAATGTAGACTTTACTCTTTTCCAAAGGGAAAATACTCTTTTTAATTTTCATCTTCATTGCTAAAACTCCATTCAAATCAGAAGAATTGTTTTAGTTGGAGAATGTTGGTAGCTGCAGTTTTTGGTGGCATTTTACAGTGTTAATAAGCATTTATAAAGTGTTGTAAAAATGTTACCATATTTAAGTATCAACTTTCAACCATCGCAAGATATTTTGGGAGAGGACAGAGACTAAGTTTACAAATTTAACTTTGTGAATTTTTTGTTTGGTTTTGCTTTTAGGAAAAATTGACATGTCTCAAGGAGAACACTTTTTGTAGTGTAGAAATAAATATTTGTGAAACGTGTCACCATATTTCTGAGGTACTAATGAGCTTAGTTTCTGACAAAATTTATCATGACTGTGTATGAAGTTGTGATTAACACAGGGCAACCCTCATAACTTAAAATTAGCTATAGCTAAATCTTTAAGTAAAATGCAGAATAATATCCACAGAGATTTTATACCTTTTCTTTTTTTTTAGGGAAAAGAAGTTACTGCTCAGAAGTCAAGAAGTAAGTACTTCAATATTTGTAGAGGTTTCTGGTTTGCTTTATTTTCTGAATGCTTAAAAATGCACTCCTGTTCTCATCTGGTCAAGCGTGCTGTATTCTAATTTGGACGTCTAAGAAAAGCATGTAGGAAAAATTAATGGAAATAGTTTGTCAAAACATGTACATAATGAGTTCTAAAATAATTCCTGCTTATTTATTCTGCTACTGGAGTAACTTGCTTGAATGAAGAAAAGTATTTATCTTAATTTTCTTTTTCCCCCCTTTGAGCAGGTAGACTGAAATATCCATTTGTCAAGGTGGAAGATCGAAGTCGGTAAGTGTTCTCTTCACGCATTCAATAATGCGTCTCTCAACCTGAGTAATTCAGAAACATTTAATATGCCTTGAGGAAGTGGCCTTCAGATTTCAATTTCCTTTGACTTCCTGACTTCAGATGGCAAGCATACTGTTCTCTTATAATATACAAAGTTTTTATCTCTGCATGCTCTGGGTATAGGTATCTATGTTTAGCCACTGATTGAGAATGAGCTAGTATAGTAGGGAATATTTGTAGTAGGTAATGGAACTGGCAAGTTAATATGTAGCTCCAGTTTGTATAGATCATGAGAGTGGGTTCTCTGAGCTACTTTCTACCAAGGGCCATATGAATGAAAAGGAAATCCAGAAGCTTCGAACCTTGACATCTTTTCTTGGATCCAAATCCCGTAGCCCAAAAGGCCGATAAAATTTTGTATGCTATATTTCAGGCCTGTAGTCTCAACTCAGTGACATTCATCTCCTGCAGATACTGTTTAGATGTAAGGAAAGGAAAGTTGTTATAGTTAAAATTATCCTTTGAAATTAGTTTTAATTTCCTGTTCAACCATTTCTTTTTAAAAGGAAAAAGATGCCTATTAATCAGATTTCAGCATCCCTAGTAGCATCAAATCTGATACTTCAGCCTTTAAAATTTTTGCATCTTTCTGGTCGTATAATCAATCAGACCTGTTTCTGTAAGGAAATACCAGTTTGCCAGAAGTTGAGAGAAAAATGGATTACAAAAAAAGTGCAGTTCTGCACAGTATGTTTTGCACCTTTAAATTCTTAATTAACTTCTGCTTTGTGATAATGCTTATAAGTTCCAAATCTTTGACCTGATTTATTTGACACTTTGCTGAATTAAAAAAAGGTACTTAAACCTGGTCTTACACTGTGAGTTGTAATGGGTATGAGGGATGTGAGGATAGTGGGGACAATTGGACAAACACAGTTGTGAGTACATGAAATTTGTATATAAACGTGTGAATTGGACTTCTGAATGTAGTGGGGTACTAAACACTTGAAACATTTAAATGTCTGTGTAGCATAAGCAATGCTTTTTAATGTTTATGCAACATGAATAACAGTTTGGAAGCAGAAAAAGATGCTTAGCCTAATATGTTTTTCAGAGTTGCTTTTTTCCTTCTGCCTGGATAGCTTATAATAGTAATGTGGGGGAAAAAAATCAGACTGAATTCTGGCATCAGCATTTCAGTCAAATGATTCAGTATGTGAACTTTTGGTATGCCCTATTTTAAATGGTTTTAATATACTCAGAGCACTGGTACAGTTGCTAGTTCTGATATCTCTTAAGTACAATGGTGTACAGGAGAACTATGTTTCTCGAAAATGAAAAGGTCAGATTTTATATTTTGAATGATGAATTAAAATTTGTCAAAAAGGAAGAAAACGGTAAAATGGAAAAAAATAAAATTCCTTAGATGTTAGGAACTTCTGTAGCTGCTTCTCAAGAACACAGATGCACCATTATCCAAATTGTTCTTAGCTTTATTGGTTCCCAACTCAACAATAGACATGAAAGCCATACCCTGGGAAATGTGTAAGACAGCTATAGAAACTCAAAGCAAATCTATTTTGAGAAAAGTATCTACTTTATAAGAAAGAAGGACAGAATGACTTACTACAGGATGTGGGTCTGCTTAGCATTCTGTGTATGTTATGTGTAAAGAATATATATAAAAGGAATGCTTTTTCAAGATTTGTGCTATAAACCTCTTCCATTTCTGATGGTTCTAATGCACTTGTTTTGTCTAATACAGCAACTACCGACCATTTTATCTGCAGTTACCCAGTTTTCCGGTTCTGAACTACTGTGTTCCAAAACCATGTAGTCCATTTGAGGTGGATAAGAAGCATCCTTCTGGTCAAAAGCAAATTCAGTCTAAGCAAAGGTTTGTTGAAAACTTATTATTGAGGTGTGGATAGAGGAGAGGGCAGTTCTCTTAAATTCTAAAGTAATTGTTTTCTGAAATAATTGCTCTGCTTCTAATTTCATGTGATATTTAATACTAATAGCTGTGTCTTAGCTCATGTATTTCCTGCACTGTAACTGTTGGTGTCTGTCTATCTTTCCATACCCTCTTTATCCTGTCTTTAGTCCTTTTTTTTGGACATACAGATGTATACATCCAAAAATGCGGCCTTCTCCTATCACTGTGGGTCAGCATAAGATATTTTTTTCCTTTCTGCCACTGGTTTCTTCTTTGCCTTCATCTGGAATGCCATCCAGTAAGTATTTTACAGGAAGTGGATTTCTTAAGACTTCTGATATTTGTCAGTATAATGCCAAAGTAGGCAGCTAAAAATTTTTAGAACAGTGATACTCAATAACAGTGCAAAATCATTGTTAAAGAGTACACATTGTTGATAAAGTCTAATTCCTAGAAATTAGATTCTGCAGGTACTGCTTCAGCTCTTCAGAGATGAAAAGTAGATGCCATCTGCCCAGTAGAATGGCAATTGGTCTCACAGCAAGTGTTTATATGATACATTTTGGCATTCAGGCTCTATTGGAGCACTTCAGATGCAGTTAGAACTTTTGGTAATTCGATTTTATGATTTGAAACTACTTAGTCTTAATTATCTGGTTTTTGGTGAATGAAACGATTGTTTTGAATTTCTTCTACCTAGCATATCTGGAGTATTAATGATTCTTTTACTGACCTCTAAAACTGATTCACATGAGAGACTGAATATATTTAGGTGAAAGGTAGCTTTGCTATACGTGGAACTTTCTGTGTCTAGTAACTTTTACTGCTTTTCTGTCCCTGGGTCTAAGACTTATTTAGGTTTTCTTTATATAATAGCTTCTGTTCAGTCTTTCACCATTATAGTGCTGGAGGTTTTCAGCTGATGTTGACATGATGAAAAAAAAAATCATTTTTGTGGGTTATTTTTTTTTTAAATTGCAATGAATGTAGCAGTGTAATGAAAAAGCAAAGCGACTATCATACAGTAGTAACCCTTGCAATAATAAGGCAATATCTGATGGTGTGTCTTCAGAGGGGGTTAGAAAGGCCCATTCTTTTTAAAGCATTAAAAAAAGTCAGTATTATTTTCATGTATATGGATTAAGGAATATGATATATTGAAAATTTCAGGAGTTATGTTTGAATATTTAATCTTTCAGGTTGGCACATAAGAGATATTTAGGTGGGAGATTATTTCATACTCGGCAGCTAAATGTGAGGAATGTCAGTTTTGGGAGGGAAAGGGGAGTGCTTCCTTGTTTTATCTTCATCTGGGAGAAAAACTTGTTGAAGTTGTCAGTGCTGCTTCTGCACTGGGCAAGACCTGCAAACATTATTTAATCTTCAGATGATAAATTCTGTTGCTTATATCCTGCTTACTGGTTCTCTGTGACTTTTACAGTTCTAAAGAGGGAAGGTGAAGGGTTAGTCTAGTAGGAAAAGTACACAGTTAGATGGATCCTGTCCTGTGAAACCCAACAAATACTGGGGCAGGTGTTTACTGGTTTAGACTTGTTGACTGGAAGCAGTTGTTGAAAGCAGTGCACCCTTATGCTGAACAATGCATTGCAATCTAAGTTAGAGATTTTTTTCAGGACAGGTTTTTTGATGTAAAGCCCTGAGTTTACATCTGTGCAGATACTTGAAGTCTGTCAGAATGTTTTTTGGCTAGACAGGGAGATGGCACTGTTCCTCTGAAGTAAAAGGGAAGAAGAGATGGATGGTTTTGCTTTTCCGCTAGCATATCATCCTTAGGTGTTTTAATAGTGAATTGCAGCAAACAGTAGCTCCCCTCAGATGAGGACTCTGAAGGTCATGGAGCAGCTATTGAAAACCTCTTCATGTTTTAATCTCCAGGAAGAACTTGAGGTTCTGTTCCTCTTATTTCCACTTATCCTGTACCTAGAAAAGCAGAACAACATGGCATTTGGTCAGCATATTCATAACCTATGTATAACCAACAAATATGACTGTTACTAACTTTTACCAAAGAATGAGGTCACCAAATGTTTTTGCTGCATCAACAAGTGTTTTCTTGGTATCAAAAGTGCTGACAGTCGAGATGCTAGAAGGCTTTTTTCTTTTTTTCTAGTTTTGAATTTATCAAAACCTTTTCTTTTACCAGCTATGCATAAAAATTTCATATATCTTTGGATTTGTCAAATGAGATTATTTTTTTTTATTTAGCAATTTTGCATTGTTTATTTTGAGTCAGTGATAGTAGTACATCTGTACTAACCTGGATGTTTTATGCTCACATACAGTTCCACTGGGTCTGCCTGTTGTCTTGCAGTAGATATATTTTTTTTATTAATGCATAATTTTTCTCTTTTTTTTTTCCTAAGTATCGACTAACACAGTGTAAATAGTTTGAGGGGAAATAAAGTGGGGTTTTGTATTTTTTTGTAAGTAAGAATGAACATACTGTGAGAGGCAAGTATAGAGCTCAGCTCCATATTTGAGACTTAATAATATATCTTTTCTGTTAGTAGAAACAAAATAAATAGTGACAAGGACTGTGAAACTCCTGTTCAGCTCCCTCAGAAGGACAAAAAAAAGAGAGGATACTGTGAATGTTGTGGGAAGAAATATGAAGATCTGCAAACAGTATGTGAAATGTCAAGTACATGCTTTGATACAGTCATATGTCTTAAATGTGATATTAACAGTGGTTTCTACTTGCAAGTTAAATGTATTTTTTATCTTAAGAGATTTTTCTCTATATATTTCCTAAAATGCAGCAAGTGGGTATTTTTTTTCCCCTGTACATTTTAATTCTTGATTGCTGCTTCAATGTATGATAGCTGAAGGCACTATTAGTACATGTCTGAAACGCTGGTAATAAATTAATGATATTTATTTACTGCTCCATATCACACTGTTGACTTGTATGTTTGTATCTGTACTATTAGATTTATGTTTTTTCTTTAATTCTAGCATCTTGAAAGTGAACAGCACCAAAATTTTGCACAAAGTACACAGTATCAAGTTGTGGATGATATAATCTCAAAGTTTGTTTATGACTTTGTTGAATACAAAGATGATGCAAAAAAAATAAAAAGGTAAGTTACATGCTTGAAATTTTAAAGACTCAGAGTTAAGACAGTGAACAAAAAGATACTTCTGCAGTTCTGGATCTGATACAGGATAAATTAGTATTGTTTCAGTCTGAAATAAATCACTGAAATTTGAGATGAAGTTGTGCCTGGCAAATCACTTCTATAAGGTAGAAATTAGAGAAAAAAACCCTAAAAGTGCAGATGGCATCACAGGAAAATGAGAGTGAAAGGAATTGCCAAAAGTTGTCCTACCTATCCTTCAGCTTCAGAAAAGGAAGATCTACTGTGCTAAAGTATTGCTGACAGAAGGACAGCAATGTCTGAACATCTTGCTCTAAAAACTTTCTATCATTCTTAGTAGGCTAAGAACAGCATTTGATATCTTCCTCAATCAATCTGATCTCCTCCCTACCAGTGGAAAAACTTTTCCTAGTCTAAGCAAGATCTTCCTGTCTATCTGTACTCTAACCCCTTAGTTTCTGTCCTGCCTGTGCTGGACAAAAAATGAAGATTTTCCTTTCTTCTTCATAGCTCAAAATCTTAAATGGGCAAGAAAGACTTGTTTCATGTCTTGGACTGTAGGCACCAGTGTCTTCATTACTTGGAACAGTAACTGTTCAAGATTGCTCTGATTTTTTGCAAATGAGTTGGGAGATAAGGAATAGCTTTCTTGTTTATTTAACAACAACAACAAAAAAGAAGAAATAAAGATATTCTTAGAGAAATCAAAGGAAATGCAAATAGAGTCAAAACAACTGATAGCCTAATGAAGGCAACCCTTTATTCCTTTTTGATTTAAAAAGAGTGGTTAGGTTTGAAATACTATGTCAAGAAAATCATACATGATTATTCTAATTGTGTGTGTATATATATCATAGAAAGTTTGTAAGTATTTATAGTCATTGCATTATATTAATTAACTTCTTTTGATCTTAATACCACTGTGAATTGAGATTTACTGAAATACTAGACTACTTTGTGTATTTTAAAAACAATTTTATGAGCTGTAGAAACCAATAACAAAACATCAAATTCAAATATAAGACACTGTTCCTGTAGAAGTAGTGTGGTGTTACCCTAAATATATCTTTCCTTTAAAAATGAAAATTGCTTTGTTGGTTTGTTTTTCTAGAATTGGTTGCATATGGGGTGGTTACCCATGTTTTTTTCAAGTGTTTGTTAATTTTAAACAATTTCATTGCAGGACAAAATGTAGTACAGGATATTTTTCTCCTATTATTGGAAAGATAACTAGACCAGATGAGCTGAAAGAACGACTGAAAAAGCAACGCATTTCATTGAAAAGTTACTCATGGAAGGATACAGCAATGCGGTCACTCAAACTGGATCGCCAGCCTGCAGAAATACAACCAAATTGTTTGCCAATACCTACCCCTATTTCTGGATCTGTCTGTTCAGTTCTTTATCGTCACCTGTCACAACCTTTGGAACCGAAAAGTATGTTCAGAAATAATGATGCAAATGCTAAAACTGATTGCTCCTGTGCTGCAAACATAAGAGAAACTGTTGTATCATCAAATTTCATACAACCACCTCATCAGAAAGATGACAAAGCATACACAGAAAACTTGTCGCAAGTTTATGAGCCATTCAGTAAAGAAATACGGGAACCAGAAGTAGATAAAAAGAATTTACAGTGTTTTCGGGAAGGCACGCGTACTTTTTTTTCTCATACTCAAGATACAGATTTTAGTGAAAAAGACACAAACCTTTCACAGGCAAAACGAAAATTAAATAATGCAGTAGTTCTACCAGCAAAGTGTTTGAAAAAAACAGATGCCAATCCCACATTTGTCAAGAAACATTGTGATTTATATGATAGTCATCAACTGATGCAGCACAGCGTCGTTCTGGAGGCTGAGGTATCTGATACTGCTATAAACAAAGAACTTAATGAATTGGCTGCCAGCACTGTGCACAATTCACCGTCTGGAAAGCTGCACAGAAAAGTGAAGCTTTATTTGGGAAGAAATAAGAGAGAAACCTGGAAACAGAATAGAGAGTTATGCATAAAGTATACAGATAGGCCGACTGTTCCTGAAGAGAAGAGAAGTTCTTGTAGCTCACCAGTACAGGCCCTACTGGAATTATTTCAGACAAGTGAAAGAAACTCAGAATTTGGAGGTTTTTCAAGTTACCCTGAGAACAAAGGTTCAACTAGCATAAAAGATATATGGGAAGGGCAGAATACAAATGTTGTGTGGTCATTATTTTCCTCTTCATCCTCATCCCCATTTGTTGGATTTTAATGCTGCTTTATTTAATATGATTTTTCAAGTAAACTTACAGATTTAAGATTTTATTCATGGAGACTTTAATTACTGTATTATATGTACAGATGGTTTGGTTTTCAAGTTTTTAATGCAAGAACTTCTGTATATGTAAATATGGAAAATAAAACTTGAGTTCTTTTTTGTTTGTTTGCTTTTCTTAAAAGGAACTGCTTTATCACAGCTCGTAAAAGGCTCTGACCCCAGATTTGGGGTTAAATTAATTGCTAGGTGAAACCAGTAAGTATGATGTAGCCGAATTTCGATAGAATAACTTTCTACAATCATTGATTATGGTGCATTCTAAATAACCACACTATAAAGAACTGGATGCTTCATTGTAAATAAGGTAGTCCATTACTTATGGACTGCTGCTGTTTTCTCTTCCTATTCCTTCTGCTGCTGCTTTATTAGAGAATAAAAAAAAAATAATTTATTTGCTTTCCTAATATTTCTTCTGCTGAAATTGTCTTGGGGAACCTATGTACTCACAAAGAAATAGGATTAGGAAAGCATGTATTATTTTTTGGCTACTCTGTCATAATTTATTTTTAGACAAAAAGTAGCTGTATTGTGTATTTCAGTGCATAGGAAAGGGGTAGATGTATACTTAAAATTTTTCTTTAAAAAAACCCAAACAGAACAACAATGGAGCAGCAACAAGGACAGCAACCAAATAGGTTGCTGATTGGTTTGTGATTGACCAAGTTATTTGTTTGATTTTTCTTTCAGAGTGACCAGCCTGTCTGACTAGCTTACTCAGAGGCACAGTGAAAGACCCAAGTGAAAACTGGGAAAACTTTTAATACTTAGTATCTTTACTAGACCTGATCTCTTTCAGAATTTCTGTATCTGTAAATTGGTGCAGGGCCCGAGTATGGAAATATAGGAGGTAATTACAAATCTTTATTAATAACTGTAAGTGCCTTGAAGTCTCATAAGAGATCTAAACCAGCAGAAATTACTCTTTGTTAATTTTTGCATAAATTACTTGTTTGCATTTTTATCTCTTGCCCATTTGATATTCTCAAACTGAACTCTTGTCAGTGTTCTTATGATCAAAGTGCTTTTAGTCATTGGGTACTTACTGTCTGTCCTTTACAGGATAGCTTCTATGAGGGGTAGGTAAAGCTTTTGGTGTGCAGGAATGGGTGAGGAGAATTCCTTTCCTTTAAAGAGCAGATGAATTGGAAGCTTAATGTTAAAAGTGAGTGCTTTGGGCATTGCTGTCACCTTAAAGGTAACATTCCTTATTCTTCCTGTACAGCCTGGTAAGAACTGCTTTTGGTCTCCATCTTACAGGTCACTTCTGGCTTAATTTGTAGTTTCTTCTGATTTGGATTCATATCAAGAAAATTATATAGAAAACCATTAGAGAAATGAGGAAAATTAACATTTTTACAAGGAGTTGATCTTGAATGTGTATGCCTCAATCTGTATATATTTTGCCCATAATTTACCAAAATATAGTGTTTTAGGAATGGGACTTTAAAGTAGAACATTGAAGCAATTACTTTGTCCTTTGACTGCCACTTTAATGATAGAAGGATTGCTCTCTGATTCGATAAATGCAATCTATTTTAGGAACAAGTGTTTGTCCATTTTTCTTTTGAAGATGTTTTTTGGGAGTGATTTTGGTTTTTAGCTATTGGTTCAGTACTAAAGGCTAGAACTTGCATTTTTCCCCTAACATGTTGCAACAATCTGTCAGTAGGCATCTCTCGCGGACACCTCCTTCCTCCCATCCCTGAGACATACACTTTTCTTGGTGTGGTGGCCTCCATCCAACTGGAATGTATATACATGGTTACTCATATACATAAAGATGATGGCACTAGTTAAGCGGAGAGGTAGTCAATGTGAGTACAGCTGGTCATTGGGTAACCAGTGTGTATGTTTTGTGTATGATTTAGAACACGTTAGCTCAATGGGCACTGCAAAGAGGAGATGCAAATACCTTGGAATCTGGCTTTAGAATCTTGAGGGGAAAAAAATTAAGAGTTGTCATTGAAGTATAAAGGTTACTCATTGTAATGCAGAACAAGATGGGAGAGTCACTGCTACTGGTTGCAAAAAGCACTTATAGTCACGATTTTGATTTTGTTTACAGATGACTAGTCACATTAGTGTGTGCAAGGCATCCCTGTTGTGTGTAGTATGTTGAGATTGTATCACAAGCCACAGTGAGCCTATTAACTGTTTCTAAAAGATTTACTCAGCATGTTGTGTGTGGTTTTCATCCATTTATGATCTTTCAAGATTGTTTAAAAAACTTTTCAAAAACTTTAAAAATACTTATATTACTACTTGTAAAAATAATTAACTATGGAAGGCTGATTATTAGAACATTCGTCTGCCTGGCTTCCTCCTAGAGAAGAGAATGAGTATTTTCAAAATATGTGGCAGGGATTCTGAGAAACGTCAAACACTTTGGACAAACACTACCACAAGAACCTCTAGTCACTAGAGTAAAAGTTTAACATTAGAAGTTCATTCTGTCTGGAAGTACATCTTTGTAATAATTGCGCATTATATAATTACAGTTTGAACTCTATAGGTACATGAATTTCTCCTAATGCACTTCATTTTTTTGATTGTCTTGCTTTCTGCGAATTTGAAGCTGGTGTATGTAACTTTTATATTCTGTTCAAAGCCAGTTGTTAGTATACTATTTGTGGTGGTTAGAGAAACTTGGAGCTATATTCCTGTACTTTCGGCTGTGTACACTTACGCAGCACAGTGTGGGATTCAGAATTTTAATGAAGCACCCAAATCTTGACTGTTACAAAAAAGTTAAAGCTTTAACCCCTGTGTAGAAGAGATCCTACTTCATTTTAAAGTCTGATTGGAAAAAAATTCCCTAGACTTTTACATGATAAAAGTACTCTTATTTAAGTGATTACCCTGTGGTCCGGTGATCTTCATTGTTTCTCTTTCATAGGCATGGCGAGCAAGTTTCTAGGGATGTGAAATACCAGAATCTTTAAAATGTTAAAATAGAAGGAGTGTGGGTGCACACACACATGCCATTACTGAAAGCCAGTGCAGACACTGTACTGGTTTGGTACTTCAGTGTAGGGGTGAGTTGCAACCGATCTGTTCAGACCCCCTTTGTTTCATTATCATGGGAGAAAGCAAAATGATTTTCAGTAAAGACTTTTAATATGGAAACTAGCTACACAATGCGAAGTTTGGATTGTAGTAACAACATCAAAAGAAATAGAGGTGTTGAAATCTGCTTTTAGAAATAAAGTATTAGAAGTAGTGGTGTTTTACTCTGGTGGTTACACCTACACCAGGTTAGGTTTGATATCTTTGCAATGGGTGCCCAATCACTGCACATGACTTTGCTCCATGGTGGATGTTTATCTGAAGTAGAAATGTTCTTCAGGTAAATTTATAGTGTGTCTGAAAGGATAGTTCCCAAGGTTGGTGCTGGGGGTGGTACGCACACATGCGTATGGGTGTACACACAGATACTCCTATGGGTGTATGGTGATAGTGAGGATTAGTGACTCCAAAACCCCCCACACATAAGGAAGTTCTGCAATAATTTCTGAGTTTCATGCACTTGGGTAAGCCCTATGCTCAGCAGCAGCTCTTGAAACAGCAATCTTGCCCAGCATCTGACTACAGAATACCTGACATGAAGCAGCAGATAGGTGACTGCAAAGTCAGCCTTCCCCTTTGGAGTTGGGGTGAAGGTAGTTACAACCTGAGGAGCACCAAGCATGTTAACATCTGTTCTGTCCTTCAGGAGTTGCCAGTGTGCACTGAGGTGATTGAATCCATGTTCCACCTCAAGCTTGCAATAAAAGGGCACACTTAGTTACCCATTCATGCTGTTGTCGTTCTGTGATCTCTTCTGGCCTGTATGGCTCCTTACATGCACCTGCAGAGGGTGTGTGTGCCTTCACCCTCTGCTCTGGAGGACTCAGCTAATGTAACTGGTGATGGTATCGCTGAAGGTCGGTGGCAGTCTGAGTGCAGGAATGAAAAAATGGCAGCTGCTCTAACTGATGTAGTTACAGTGGGGCAGGTGGACATGGGATGAAAATATGAATCCCCCTATGCTCCCCAGTTGAAAAATCTGTGAGCTACATGGTCCGTGTGACCTCTGGGCCCTTGGCTGATAAGCACCAAGGGCCAATAAAGGGTGCCCATGCTGGGCTTTTTCATCATGTTATTAGTGGATAGTGCAGTAGTATCAAGTCACAGTCTATCTTGGTTTTACAGCGAGTCTACTCAAAAAGGTGGAAATCACTTCCTTGCCCTAGTTCCATTCTGTAGATGCTCCATATTTGAGATTTTTAAGACATGCCTTAAGATTATATTAAGAATTATGGGATATTTCTGGAATAGTGAAGTGTAAAATAAAACTGCAAACATGTGAACAAGCATTCATATTCTTGAGTGACTAAGTAGTTTGGATGTTACTTGCATCACAGCAGGAGATGGAGTCCCTTTTATCCCTCTAATTTTTTCTATTGTGTTTCATCTCATGAAAATATTTTTCTGAAAAATAAGCTATTTTCTTTCAAGTGCTTACTGCCACTCAAATTTAGCTGTAACCTCTATATGCCTCTGATCCACACTCTTGAAGACAAATGAGGGGAAATTTTAGCAGCCAATTGATCCAGAGGAATTGTATAGTGTATTTACACAGAATGTATGTAGGTGGACTAGAAATTGAATGCCAAAATTTATTTCTTAGCATAACTAGTCCTCTGGACCATTTAAGGAGATTGTTTGTGCTATCAAATGCAGGCATAAGTAAAGGTAAATAGCACTGGTAATACCAACCAGTAACAGTGTCACCAGTGATAACTGTAGCAGAGGGAAAGTAAGTGTGAACTGAGTTCATTAACCAAAATAACATCTTTGAAGATGGTACGAGATGGATATTTTGGGGTTTTTACTGTGCAGTCTGTAAATATTACTTTTTGGCTTCTGAGATTCAACAGTGTATTTGCTTTAGAGAATGCAGCTGTCCAAAATAAATGCTGAGCATCCCAGATATAGCACCATAAAAAGATTTGGGATGCAAAGCAAGTATTTGGGTGGAGTCCAATTTCATTTGGCATAAAGCAGCTCTAGGTTCAGGTGACTGTCAGACTTAATCCTTTTTTTTTTTTTTTTTTTTTTT